AATCATTCTAATATGCTGATTTACTGCTCAATTATTAATTATTTAATAATTAATTATTAATATGTTGCATTAATTTTGCAATTATTTGATATTATGAACTATTATTACAATTTAAATTCACAATATCTAATAAATACAGCCTTGGTGAACATAAGAGACTTTCACATTTTTTTATTATTATTATTATTTTTGACTGGTAGTGTACTAATGACATGATGTTTGAACTCACAGAATGGCTGGTCATGATGTAGACGTGTCTATGGGTGGAATCCAGCAGTAAGTCACTGTTGATGGCCAAACCAGGTTGGATGAGAAGGGTGGAGTACTTCTTCACCTCTCCTGAGTTACCCAGGAACACCTAACATGAGATCAAAAATAAATAAATAAATAAATAAATAAATAAATAAAGAGTTTCAATAAGTAACCTGACAACGGCTCCTAAGAACTTCCTCAAAGTTTAATTGAATATTTAGGCTTATAAAACTACATCAGTTGCAACAGGACACCTTGGAGACACGAGGAGAGCTGGATGTGGACAGGTCTAACTAAAAGTGCTGAAAGTGTCTGCTGAAATGGTTTAGCACTAGAGCCCTTCAAAGTCTCATTAAAGGAAAACGACGTACAAGGATCTGAGAGAGGTGCCTAATGCCTCTTGAATTCTATCACGACTGGGGTCGATTTCAGCAAACCAGATTAGAAGAGTGAGAATCCCATCAGAAGAGCAGGTATCCTGCTTAAGAGTCTCAGACACCTTACACCGCGAGCTGCTCACGCACTCCACCCAGTCAGGTTTGTGTTTTAACTGGATTAGCATTGACAAACTGTCGGCCACGGTCTACTGCAGGAGGAATCATGCATTGCAACATTATCGTATCATGCAAGACTGAATAGCTGTGTAGATGTAGGGTTAGAGGAGGTGTACCTGCATGTGTGTTTGTGAGGGAAAATACAAATGTGATTCGCCAGTTAGCTTTTTTCAGTTAATTTCAACTAAAATTATCTTTCATCTATGTTAAAGGGCTGGTTCACCCAAAAATTAGATTTCTGTCATAATTTAATCACACATGTTTAGTTATGCTGTTTCTCACCCATATCTAGCAGAATGTGTAAGCTGCTGTTTTCCATTAAAAAAACAGATAACAGATTTTTATTTTTATACATACATTTATATGATTTTATGAGCTGATTTTTTTATGAATAATGTATGTACTGTATGTGTTAGTTATAATATACTTTCTATGTTACAATAAACATTTTAATATCGCTAAATATTTATTCATTAAAAATAAACTTCACATACACATATACATGTATATACAGGTATTAGCTGTCTTGTTTCTGTCCCCTCAAAATAACTCAACACACAGCCATTAATGTCTAAACCGCTGGCCACAAAAGTGAGTACACCCCTAAGTGAAAATGTCCAAATTGGGCCCAAAGTGTCAATATTTTGAGTGGCCACCATTATTTTCCAGCACTGCCTTAACCCTCTTGGGCATGGAGTTCACCAGAGCTTCACAGGTTGCCACTGGAGTCCTCTTCCACTCCTACATGACGACATCACGGAGCTGGTGGATGTTAGAGACCTTGCGCTCCTCCACCTTCCGTTTGAGGATGCCCATGCT